TTTTTTTTTTTTTTTTTTTTTTTCTGCTCTTCTTTAATATAGCAAACACTTGTATCCAAATTCCATTTTATATTTATTAACCAGTTTAAGATTCTCAGTTAGAACTTCCTATTGAACAACCAAGAAGGCAGTCTTCACATTTAGGGCGATAGCAGCATAAAGAAATATTCAGTATCACAAGCTTGACCTGTTTAACTTAGCTCCTACATGAATTGTGCATTATAGCTTTTATGGATTGAAGGTATAATTCCAGCATGCAAAACTGAACTACTCTAAGAAACTTGTCAAGATAATAATAAGTCAGGACTTCAAATGCCAAATCAATAGGCCATCTCTATGGAGAAGTAAAGGAAATACAGGAATAGATTGAAACATAGTCAAACTGGGTGTTTGAACATCCTTTAATTGAACTAAAAACACCTAGCTGCACATGGCTTTCAACATCAATTTACAAGTTAGGAGAATAATATTGCAAAAGTTTGGTTTCTTTGCTTGATGCATCTGTATCGCTCTATGCCTCAATGCATATGATTATTCCCCTTTGCCAAGTGGACTCTTGCATCGTGGTGTGTCTAATTATTTCTGAGATAAATTCCTCTAACCACCGAATTCCAATATAGCACTCAGCAAAATTACTCCACAGTACCGAAAATTAAACAGTCAGAGCTCACTAAGTTTTATTTACATGAAAGTATTAATGAGTAGGAAATTGTAAAAATACTGCACAAATAAGTTCATGATATTACACTAGTAGCGGATTAGATAAATTTTACCATTCACGAAATATTATCGTAATGGTGACAGATGATGTAATGTTTGTAGTGAATAATAGGATGTGATTGATGATCGAAAAGTGGGAAAGATTTACAGTAATTTCTGAGAATTCATCCTGGTGAGAATCCCCAGTGAAAGCTCTCTTCTCGGCCCGGAGGCCCCCCTTCTAGTAATTAGTGAATCTGCCACCAAATGAGAACGTAAAAAAACCATCTTGAAAATCCACATCTCAGGCAGTTAGCTTTTTGGGCAAAATTTTTCTGACTCCTTTACTACCTCACACAACTCCACTATTTCGTGTTCAGTCTCTAGATGCTTCTTTGTTTTTCATTGCTCGAGCTGTTTCTGGTTGGGTCAAATTTGATAATGTTTTCAACATGTAATTCATGCTTGCTTATCATACAATCTGACGGGTCATGGGTTTCTGCAGGTTAGGTTCCATCCACTTTATCCTGAAATCCTAGCCAGTGGAAGCCTAGACCATGAAGTTCGTCTATGGGATGCAAAATCCGCGGAGTGTATAGGATCACGAGATTTCTGTAATTATTTGAATTTTATAGAGTTCAAAAAGACATTTTCTTTTCTTGTTTCGTCACTTTAAATCCTATTAATATGGTTTCTCGAAATACTGTAAAATGCAGACCGGCCTATAGCTTCAATCGCCTTCCATGCTCAAGGGGAAATCTTAGCTATAGCTTCTGGCCACAAGGTTAGTAATTTAAAGTGCTGCACTGGCCTTTTGTTTTAGATTTTTCTGGACTACAGTTTGTTAATCTTGATTTCTGCAACAGTTGTACATGTGGCATTACAACAGGAGAGGTGACGCATCAGCACCAACAATTATATTGAAGACACGGCGTTCGCTCCGTGCTGTACATTTTCACCCTCAGGCTGCTCCATTTCTTCTGACTGCTGAGGTATTTGTTTGCTGTATTTTTTGAACACTTTCTTCTATATGATTAAATTTTTTACAGTTTTTTTTTTTTTTCCAGGTCAATGAGCTCTACTCATCAGACCCTTCCATGACATTTGCAACTTCACCGGGATACTTGCGCTATCCTGCCCCAACTATATATCTGGCTGATGCTCATTCGGGTTACCGGTCGAATTCCGGAAGCGAGCATCCCATCATGTCTATACCGTTTGATCTCTGGCCTTTCATTAGCCAAGTTGATGGGAATTCAACTACCCATGACCGTGATGTCCACATGGGTTCTGGTCCTTCACAAAATAGGGCAGATACTTCAGCCTCTGTGCGGGTTCTCACATACTCGACTCCTTCCGGACAGTATGAACTTTTATTGTCCCCAATTGAATCTGGTAGTTCACGTGTGCGAGAGGAGATGCTGTATAATTCCTCAATGAGGGAAACTCGGAATGCTGTTTCTCAACATACCATGATAACAGATGTGCAACCCGAAGAGAGAAGTAATCAGTTTTTCCCATCTAATGATCCAGCTTACTGGGAGATCCCCTTTTTGCAAGGGTGGCTTATTGGTCAAAGTCAAGCTGGACAACGTTCGATGAACTCACGAAATGGAGGGGCCAATGAAGTTTTACCAGCACACAGTGCCATAGGAAACTCATCATTTCCAGTTCCTCCGGAAGTTCCCAACAATCACACTAATTTAATGGTTCCTGGAAGATCTGGCCCACGTCACCAGTATCTACCTTCCCACACAATACCAACTGTTCGGTCTAGTGAAAGTTCGGCTTTCAACAATATACACTCCCAGCAGAGTGCTTCACAACCTTTTATGAGTCAAATCCAAACTGAGGTAGCTACATCACTGGCAGCAGCAACGGCTGCTGAGTTGCCTTGCACTGTTAAGCTCAGAATTTGGTCCCACGATCTAAAAAATCCTTGTACACCACTTGATACCGAAAGATGCCGCTTAACAATTCCACATGCTGTACTTTGCAGGTATGTTTAAGGCTTTAAGCTGTTGTGTTCGGTGCCTAAATTTTCTTTTACTCATTTATTTTAGGACAATGGACAGTTATCTTGCTAAAGAAAAGTGCTTACTTCTTTTGTGAAATCAACAATTTCATATTTGTAATTATTATATTACAGTAGATTAGAAATGCAGACATTTCTCTCTTTATTCTCAACTGAAGTTTGATATGCTTGCATGAACTGTACTTTTGTAGTGAAATGGGTGCTCATTTTTCACCTTGTGGGAGATTTTTAGCGGTCTGCGTTGCATGTATCCTTCCAAATTCAGATGTTGATCAAGGGTTTCAAAGTCACATCCCGAACGATTTTACTGGGGCCTCAAACTCTCCGACGAGGCACCCAATTTCAACTCGTCAGGTTGTGTATGAGCTAAGGATATATTCACTAGAGGAAGCCACGTGAGTATTGTTTTACTTTGTCATTGCCTGCAGTTTTCCTATTCAGATCTCCTATGTTATCCCTCGTTTATGGTAATTCTTTTCATGTAGATTTGGCCTGATTCTTGCATCTCGGGCTATCAGAGCTGCTCATTGTTTGACCTCAATACAGGTCTGTTGTATCCATGAAATTGAGGCATATATTGCAGGGCTGGACTTAGAACTAACTTGTGTGTTTGGTCATGAATGGAAGTTTGAGAGTTTGAAACTAATTTGTTTTTACTAAAACCAGTTTAGTCTGTATAAGCTTCCTGACAAGTATTATATTTATTATAAAGGAAAAAAAAAAAAAAATGAAACCAACAGTAAGAAGAAGAAACTATGGCTTTGGAGATTGATCACCTACCCTTACATCTCTATGATTGATTTAGCGAAACATATACTAGGCATTCTTGTAAAGAAGACAATATCTACATTTCCCAGTATGATATAAGTGCTGAATAGCTATAAGGATTTTCTAATCTTAATATAAGCACTATTCCTTCTTGTGATTGAGCATAGCCGCGGTCTCTTTTGATTTTCTGTTTACAGGGCTTTCTGCTTTACTTTTGTTGATAAGTGGGTCTTAAAAGATCTAATTGATTCTGAGATATGATTACTAATTGATATCTGTATTGTAGAAAACGACAGACTTCAATCATATTTTGGGTATGTTGAATATTCCAGTATAATGGTTAGGATACCTATCTTATGCTAATGCATTTTTTCTTATACCCCGAAATTGGCTGTTTGCTTCTTGCATAGTTCAGATTTTGAAATGGCTATTGACAGTATTTTAGTAGAAATTGTCCAATATGGCTATTTGTCTGATGTCCTTTTGGTATGGCAGTTTTCACCTACCTCTGAACATTTGTTGCTTGCTTATGGTCGGCGGCATAATTCGCTCCTTAAAAGCGTCGTGATTGATGGAGATACAACTGTACCCATATACACGATTCTGGAGGTGAGATGCCATTGCAATATGATGTTTTGATGTTCTCAAGATTGATGTAAGCTTTCACATAACTAGTTAGATACTTGCTTGTTTGTTATTCGCATAATCCATAAATTTTGAGTGCAAAACCACGCCTAATTGCTGACCATGTACAACATCTTGGTAATAATTATATAGCAATCCTACATAACTTGGTGAGAACTGAGACGCTGCTCCTCCGAGTCTTGCCTGTTTAACTGCAACTTAGAAATCATTTGACATCAAGAGGAAAGGTTTATTAGTTTCTTTGTATAATTCAAAAGTCCTCTTAGTAATTGGTACCCTGGAGACCAAGGATCAGCTCATAGTTGGCAACACGTGATTGCTTGATATGGAACTCCTGGATCATGGCTCCATGGATCATGATACAAATTTACTTTTCTTGATGCTAGATCTAGAATTTGATTACGTGAGGCTAGTAACTTAATGTATGTGAGTGTGTAACCTGGACATTCGTCAGTCACAACTTTTCAAGTTAGTTTTTAGGGGTTATAACAAGAATGCTCCGATTGATTCTGTCTATTACTTACTAGTTTGCAATACAAATTGAGATTTCAAGTCATATCATACCACTATATTATCAAGTAACTCCTTGTATAAACATTGATCTAAGCCAGAAAGTTTGTGCTTGCGTCAGATTTGTGCAAAGTAGGGCAAACACTAGTTCAATGCAATCTTTGTTTTTCCACATTGCTCAGGCCTTTATATGATTTATTTATCTTACAGATCTATAGGGTTTCGGATATGGAACTTGTGAGAGTACTTCCAAGTGCAGAAGACGAGGTTAATGTTGCTTGTTTCCATCCTTTGGTTGGAGGTGGTCTTGTATATGGAACCAAGGTAACAAAAATGGAAAGCTTTGTATTTTCATTTTAATCTTGTTCAGTATATTTTCCTAAAGATGTTTTTCGTTTAATGGCAGGAAGGAAAGCTGAGAACTCTTCAATGTGATGTATCTCATGTCTTTAGTAATGAAGGGTCCTTTGTACCAGATGATAACATGTTGGAGGTATAGGAACACATATGTAATAATTTTCAATACTTACCTCTGATTCATTCAATAATCAGCATATCTACATTAAACATCTGTTCCATTGATTAAGATCTTGTCATATTTAGCACATTACGCCTAAAGAATTCCACTATTCTTGAGATTATTTTCACTAGAGTCCATTCTATTTCGTCCACATATGTCAGCTAATTATATTTTATTTTTATGGCGCAATAAAATATCCCATTTGTGAAGGAATGTCCACTTAGCTGCTTAAATATCTTTTCCCATTGATTAATCAGATCTTGTTCTACTTAGCATTTATGCCTAATGAATTCCACTATTTTGAGCTTATTTGCACTAGAATATTTTCTATTCCATCCACATATTGTATGTAGTGATATTTCTGACAGGTCAATACTGCAAATTAAACTCATTTATTCACGGCACTGTTGAATTAGCTTCTTAACACATGATATTAACTACTTCTACTACTACTACTGTATATTATATTTATTTGTCTGAATGGACTTTGGTTTATCTTCTGAAGGTTCCAACATATGCATTAGAAGGTTGATGAATGGCCAACAAATGCGGTACACTCCAAAACTACAGAGCTTGATCACGGTTGGTTCCTAAAAACTTTCATCAACAATTAGCCACCAACTCGTCTCCTTCATGGTTTTTAATTGCAGTTCAAAGGGTCATATTTTTATGAGATACATGCAGTTGAAAATTGGATCGCTCTGAGAGCTTTTTTTTAACGAATAACTAGCTATTATACTTTGTAATATTCTGTTATTAAATTTGCTTCAAAGTAGTTTTAGTATATCACGATAAAAGTATAATAAAAAACCATACTTTAAATTTGGTGTAGTTATGAAAAACAAACACTGTTCAACTGTAATTTACTTTTGATGTGTGATAGATATCAGTTATGTAAATGCTCTAGAAACTAGCATAATCATTCACTGGGGCATGAAAGGGACGAATTGTACCTAGGGATTTTCTTCGTCTTTCTTTTTCAGTACATGATGGAAACTTCATTTGAATGCTCCACTAGCTGATTTGCTTACGAACACTGAAATGAAACCCATTTTTTACAGTGTATGGACTTAGTGAGACCTGCCAACTCGTACAAGATGATTTACACCTCGTGGCATGTATCAATGAATCACGAGAAGGAACAACATCCACGTGTACAAATTCAGGAGACTATTGTATTTGTGATGAAGCTGTGTGCTGCAATGCTGCTAGCTACAAGTAGTGAAGCCTTGTGAAGATGAGTGCAAAACCGAGTGTCATTTTCTCGAGCTGATGCCAATGCAGGACAAATACCAGCATGAATGCTTTGTTGATTATAGATATAGGTGAACTAATTTTTCTGGGATTTTTATGAAGAATCGTGTATGCGTCTGTTGTATATTAAGCGTCCTCATGCTTCGAGGAAAGTGAAAGTACACCCACATTGTCTCAAGCTCTATATTCAGTCATGCCCAATTTATTTGTTCCATTTTATTTAATAGATATCATTAGCTTATGCTTTGGCCACTTGACTAAATTTTAGGCTAATTTAAATTTCTACTGTGATTTTTGGATTAACATTAAATTAAATTAAATTTAAGGGTTTAAAACTAGGAACAAATAATTTGTTGCCCCTCTAATCCCTTCTCAATTAGATCTTTGAAATATACAGTTAACTAAAAACCTCGCAAGTTTTTTTTTTTTTTTTTTTTTTTTTTTTTTAGACAAATGAGGAGAAGCTTAGAGTATCTCCAATGATATGTATATTAATTGGAGAACTGTAGATGCTTTGGAATAAAAAAACTTCCTCCAACGATAGTTTTTTAATTTCTTCTTCTTGTTATGATGTGACATGAGAAAGAATAAAAAATTGTAGAAGCCTGTCTAAATCTGAAAGTCCTTCCAGAAGGGATGACTCATTTTTTCGTCCTTTTTACTTCTTTTGTTTTCAATTAAAATCTATTATTACGTAAAGAACACCAAAAATACCTGATACAAAACATATACCCGATAAATTTGATAAAAAAATATCAGATGAATTCAAAAAAAAAAAGGAAAAATAATAACGGAAGAATACAAAAAATAAATATCAGTTAAGAAAATATCTGATAAAAAAATGCCAGATGAACACAAAATAGTAACAGATGAATACAAAAAAATGGTAGTTTTTAAAAAATAAATATACTGATATAAAAAACTTGATGAATATCAATTGGGTTGTGGATGGTAACTATTCAAAATATAAAACATGTACATAAATATTTACTGTGTTTAGACATCTACCACTGGAGAGTGACATATCAACATGACATTCTATTTCTTCCACGTAGACCGGAAGACCGTCTATTCAATTGTTAATCCACTTCAACTATTGGGATGCTCTTAGTGTTCCAAATATCACATCAACTGAAATTTTTTATATGAATATGATTGATTTTATTTTTTTAATAATCAATTTTACACAAAGAAAAAAATATTTATTTCAAATCTATGCGTTTTCTTCTTTAAATTTACGTTTAGTTTGTGGTAGTTTATTATAGGTTTATATCACTAGATTTAGTTACCCTGCAAACAAATTAATAAACGGAGAATAGAAGTCATCAAACACGTACAAGAATGATAAATGAATTTCTATTTACCGCCCCCCCTTTACTATTCACCGCCCCCAATTACGTTTTTGTCCTTCACACACTCTCTCTCTACTCTCTCTCTCTCTACTCTTTTTCTCTCGACTTTCTACGGCTCTTTTGACCGTCAAAAGAATTTGGAAAAAATGCCAAAAAAATACCATGACATCGGCAAGACATTGAAGATTGACCATGTATTTTTTTTATTTTTTTACTTCATAAATATTTTTTAAATTTTATTATTATTTTTTTTTTGCGCGTCCGGCCGAACCGGTTGGACGCGACCGTGCGCGTCTGGCCGGTTCGGCCGAGAAGTTTATACAATGTGCTACCTAAAGAAGTTTACGAAATAAACTCGAGCTTTTTAAAAAAACTCGCCCAACCAAACCGAGCTTATTTAAATACAGAAAAACTTATAAACAAACCAAATAAACTATAAACTAACTTATTTTGTTACCAAATATAACCCAAGTTAGCAGGCTCATTGGATTTACCAAGGTTTGCAAACCAAACCGATCATCGAAGCAGTGAAGCTACCGATTCAACGGTTCACTGGTCGAATCAGTAGTCGAACCGGTTTAATTAATATATATATTTTTATTATATTATATGAATAATATATAATTGTATAATTTTTTTCATTAATTTTATAGTGTATAATATCATTTATCTAAATAAGAATTCAATATAAACACAACCATTTTCTAAGAAAACAGATCCCCATTTCCACTTTGTTCAAAAACCTCAAATTTCTAAGAAAGTGGAACGAGCCGCAAGCCATTTCTTCACACAAAACAAATCCCCATCTCCTATCCACACAAACTATTATACACAGGAAAGAAAATGAACGAAAAATATTTGAACTCATAAGGATTTCACATTTGAATCAATGAGATGGAGCCCGAGAACAGAAAATAAGAAAGACGTGCTCGTGTGGGCAACAAAACGATGGAAATAGAAAATCATCTTAGCAAAAAAAGAAAGATACAAGAGTTTACCCTTATCCGCATCTCAGCAAGTTCGAAAAAAAAAAAGTTACAGGAGTTTGATTGGATGACTAGACAAAAAAGAAATTAAGAAGCACGATTGTGGGTACGGGTCCAGGATAATATTTGCCAATTTTGAGATGGAAATGAAAAACCATCAACCTGGAATGAGGGATTTGGGAAGAAAATCTGGATTCTGTGACGGGGCACAAAGGAAATGGGAATGGTGGTTAGCGTTTGACTTATAATATAATCCCACCTCGGAAAACAAAGAAAAACAGTCTTCTATTTAAATGATAACATTGCCTGCCAAGGTCACAAGGTTGCAAGTTCAAAACTGAACCTATTGGCCTGTACGAACTGGTACCGATTATCTGGTTTTACCGGTTTTGAGTCCCAATGGTTCAATACCTTCAACCGGAACGGTGTGCTAGCTGGTTCCCGGTTGAACCGGTCGAACATGCCGGTCCGGTCCGGTTTTCAGAACCATGGGATTTACACGATTCCAATTTATTGGACAAGAAAGTCTCTCTATCAAACATCACACAAACAAAAGATTTGGTGTTAGAACATCTATACTATGAACGAGCATCCACTATACACTCAATCCATTGGTAATCTAACAACATTCTTGTCCAAGTTATTTCATACTTTATCTTTGTACAACGAAATCAGCCATCCCACTACTACAATTGATTAGGTGTGTCGAAAATCAGAAAAGGAATGTGGGGTGTGATACATTTCTCATAATCAACAAATCCCACCTCTAATTTTGTTTTTTCGACAAAATTTCGAAAAACACCGGCAAATATTCATAGGATCATTTGAAAGTTTGAATGCAAATGAACTGCTTGATTAGGGTTCTATCTGATTCCCAATTTATAACACAAAAACTCTACCGCATTAGAAGCAATCAAATCAATTCAAAATATGAAATCACCAGCAAAATCCACAGCTTATCAACTACAAATATCAGATTAGAGAAGCAAGAACATGCTGAAGACACAAGTTAATCACAGAAAGCATTCATATATATATATATCGAAAAATCAACGCCAATCCATCATCATAATTTTCCAGTAATTTGCAACATAGAAAAGATTAATTGAGGTTGAGATAGAGAATCAATTTACGCAATCAGTTGATGTCTTCATCATCGAAATCATCCTGGAAGGAATTGAAGAAATCGGCATCGGCAAGGCGGTGGAGGTCCAAGACGGGGCCCTCTCCGAACAGATCCAAGGAGGAGTCGGCGTCGTCCACCTCCATCGCGACTGTGACGCCGTCGCTTTGCTCCTCTGCCTCCCCGAAGTACTCCATAGCGACTGTCTTCATTGTCGTCTCGCCGGATTCGCTCTCTCTAGCTCTCTCCTCTCTTTCTATCAGCTGTCAGTATAACTACGTCAACAGTTGGGCCTCTAATACTGTTGGTCCGTGCGCATTTAGGTTTTCGACAATTTTTTATGGGTCAAGCCCAAATAACGATCCAGCTAATTAATGGTGATAAAAGGGAATTGTTTGACTATTTTAAATTAACTAGTGCGTGGCCCGTGCGATGCACGGGAAAACAATAATACGATTGTGTTATAAATTAAATATACAAAATAAATTAATCAAGATTTACCCATTGTTTTTAAATTGAACCGTATTGGACACAGTCTGACGAATGGACCGACAACCGATTTATAATTAGTCTAGTTCACTTGAATAAAATATTTGCTATCGATTCCGTCAACACCAGTCGGTTGAACTGGTTGGATCGAAACGATTTTCTAAATAAATTTGACTATATTTAAAATTATTATAAATAAAATACATATTTAAATAAATAGAGATTTATAAGTTGTTTATCAATTAATTTAAACATTTGAATTTTTAAATTGTTTAGATATTTAAGTAACACAATTTATTACAAAAGTAATATATATATATATATATAT